GGTAGTAATTTTGACTATGTTATTGGCATACAGAAACTGTTTAGTGCCTAGAGCGAATTAATAGCTCCACACTCATCAGTGGACCTAATACAGGAGTGATATCTATTTCTTAAGATTTTAGAACATCCCGCCAGCAGTATAGAAGCCATCATGCGCATAATGTGATCTATTGTTCCGTATGATGTTTCACATATACTGCTCGGGATGTTCGTTAAATTAGATCACTCTGGATTAGCACTGCATGAGTGTGGAAGCTTTTACTCCACACGAAACCATTCTGCTATGCAACAGAGTCAAAATTACTTACCGTGTCCGCTATTAACTATCATCTTATATATATATATATATATATATATATATACAGCACACTCACTTTGACGCAATGCACGCCACGCAGGACACGCACACACACCATGCCACACAAAATATATATATATATAGAGAGAGATTGAGGAGAGAGACAGCCCGCACAAAGACAAAGACAGAGCAGAGAGATATGGAGAGAGAGAGAGAGAGGAAGAGAGAGCAAGGAAATAGAGGAGCAGAGAGAGAGAGAGAAGGAGGGAGATAGAAGCGAGGCTGGACAAGACGAAAACGCTGCCCAATTCGCGAACGCAGCGAAGACAGGAGACAAAGAGAAAGAGAGGGGAGAGAGGATGTCAATGAGACGAGATGAGATGCAGAGAAGTAGAGAGCTGATGAGAGAGCGCCAAGCAGAGTGACAAAAAAAAGAAGACTCTGGATGAAACGACGAGGAGAACGAGGCGAGAGACTCAGGACAAAGAGAATGAGAGAGATGCATTGAGAGAGAGACTATCACTGGCACTCATCTACCGTAGATCACATGAGATCGCCAGAGTACCCCGCGGGGCGCGGGGTGTCCCTTGGTCGACCACGAGAAAGACAAGAAAGGCCGGTGAACCGTTGAGATGATGTATCCTCCGCAGACGAGAGAGAGAAGAGGAGCGGAGATGAAACGTACATCCTTGGAGACTTGAATCGAGAGAGACGAGAGAAAATTCTTATTGCCTAATGTTCTAATTTAATCAAATTCCAAAAACAAATTCATTATAATACTTTGAGTGACACGGGGCATAGATAGCGGCGGGAGGGGGGATATATCCCCCACTTATTGAAGTGGCGGGGATGGCGCTTGACAATTCACCCCCACTACTTTTAAGGAGGAAAATGGGGAAACATTCCATATTTTAGAGACACTAAATAATCGACCATTTATCACAAATCCGTCATGCGCTATTCATAGGCGCGGGCGCACGACTCTTCCGCCCGACAGTCTCCTAATGGTATTATTACACCAAATGCGATACAGCCGACACTACATACTACTGTAAACATGTCTAGTAAACATTTCCAAGAATGACATATATTTTACTGCAAACACCAGACGCCGTTAATTGTGGCACGCATTCCCCATATACGCATTTTTTTTTTTCAAAATCCCAAATTTCACGTCTTATCACTCGCTCACTCGAAAGATTATAATCCCTGCTTTACTTCAAAATAGAATAGACCTATTTTGAGATGTTGGGAATATTGAATCTTTCACGGGGGATGAATGCGGAAGATTCAATGTCATCACACATTTTGTGGGGGGAGGGGGCGCAGGCCAGTGCTGTAATCCCGACCGGAAGTATATTCCTGATTTTAGTATGAAGGGCGTGAACTATGCACTTTTTGCCGTTCAAATCTTATTGCTGTTTTTCTCGATTACTTTTTTTTACAGTTTTAGCATCTCAGCTGAAAATATACGTTTTATCAAACATTTCAGGGGAGATGATCCCAGGCTATATTGTCAGTGAGCGAATCCGCGGGGGAGCCGGGCACACTTGCAAGGGGCAGGATCGCGGTCCCTCTAAAATTTTCATGGCACGGCTATATTTTAGCCCATACGGCTAAGTCTGCAACGGTAACGCCAGTGACGGATGTACATAGTCACATGATTTAGGGTAGCAAGCTATTTTAGTCTTGTGGGGTGTCCCCAAAGATAAAAAATACTCAACTCAGCCAGTATATTATTGTTGATGAAGACTCGTTTAATACATGCTGCTTCAGAGTGCCGGAAATTGCATCTAAGAGGCCGTAATTCAGTCGAAAATTTCGCAAGGACCTACCGCCTAAACAGGAGTGGGGACACCACCCCTGAAGGAGCGCAAAAATCTCGTGATGTTATGATATAAAGCATGTCCAAAACTGATTGCTTTTTAGCTTGCAAATTTTGTACAATTAAATCCACACTATGCATGCCGGACGGGCGGACACCGCGCTCCAAACCACCGCCTCCGGCGCGCTCCCTCGTGCTCATTGAGCTCGCATGTTTCGCCCCCAAGAATTCACTTCTGGATCCGCCACCAGTTGTGTGTGTGTGTGTGTGTGAGGGGGGGGGGGGTTGCATGTTATTAAACCTCTGGAATCCAAAGAAAAAAATAACCCTAGAATTCACAAATATTGCGCTTACAATTTAAATTTTTGTTCAATTCCCTCAAAAACGGCCATCTTGAAGGTTCTAAATTGCTAAAATCCAAGAGCTTCTATATATGAACCCCACCCATTAAGGGCTTTGCGCCAAGGCGCTCACGGTGAGCGCTACGCGCACACTCTTCGTATACTTTGAGATGGAAGTAACAGCGAAATCATCCCCCCCACAACTGAGGACCAGTCTATGCCACTGATGATTGATCTACTGAAATTGCTACCATAGAATATACAAACCCACACATACAACATCCAAAAACACAATATCTATTATTTTACACATATTTACAGAAAATACTAGCAGTAGTTGTTATAATAAAGACAGGTAAATTATATTATTGAGTTTATAGTGTAATATATTATAATACTATTGTATTTAATAGCAATCAGTTTTCTATCACAAGCTCTAATGACATGACTGACTAAGGATCGATACCCTATATATATTTACAAATCTATAGCAAAAGTAAATATATACACTGTCAATCTTTAAAACGTTTTTTTGGAAACACAGTTTGCTTTTATTTGTAGTTTACTGATATAATATTAACTATTAATAATATCCATAATTTCTTAGTGAATATGATAAAATGCAACAACAATGCACTCTGTTTATGGTTATAGCTGTTTTGCCTACAGTATGATCAACAGAGGACAATACTAACATGAATACTCAGAGCTGTAAGGTTCTTTCCTGGAGAAATCCGCGCACTGCTGACTGCTATAGTGAATGCTGATGCAAACGGGACGTTCATAAATCGTATGCTTACATGCTGATATCTTTCCGCCTGTGCTGCCGTTGTTGGTGGGCCTCAAATAACAGTCTGTTCGTGTCGAAGTAGTGCGCATTCTCGCAGCCCATGTCCGGCTCATAACGCTGCCCGATAACACCAAACTCGTTTATTGTATCCGCAGACGCAATCTGCACCCGCACGTCAATTTCCCCGTTGGTGCCCTGCAGGTATGGCACGCCAAATCTGCCAAAGTCGCTCTCATTGCTGGATAGACAGCTCGTGCCAGCGCGCAGATGATCTGCTGATGTTGTCTGGTTGGCAAACTGCTGATGGGTGGGATGTATGTGAGTGGCGCCACCTGGCTGTGGATGGGAATGGCATGTCACCCCATTAACCTAAAACCAGAAAGCTTAATGTTACAATCAATATCTGTCTGCTTGCAGCAATATTAATCCCATTATCATTCACAATGTTCATATAGACGGAGTCAAAGAATGATGCCATTCGACCTAATAGTACATTTACGTGGAAATTTACTGTGAAAATGTGCTGTAATTGTAATTTGAACTATGAGGCACAGCAAGAGAATATTGCCAGAACCAAGATGAGGTTTACAAGGCATCAAGGTATGTGCAACAAAGTTGAGTATTTCCCAAATTTTATCATCATGTATTTTTGACACACAGGTAATAATATTCCTGGTAGAATTTTTTGTACCAACAGCAAACATTTCCATACAGCTGTGTCAAATAAACTACTTTCAAGTAGGCAAGTAGTGTTTTCAATTAAAATAATGAAATCACAATCATAGGGAAACTATTGTAACCTCAGATATGGATTCATGAAATTTTATATTCTACTGTTAAATCAAATTCACTCACGCTGTTCTGAAATGCACCAGGAATACAACTCGTTTCGGGCTGTTGACAACTGCAATCAGTTCCAGGTATTCTGTAAAATTGAATTCCTGACTAATTATGCCCATTATAATTGATGATATTAGTTACATGGTAAAACACAACATTGCAGTAAATTACTCATGAGGAAAGTGCAATGTTACACTCGCAGCTAGGGCCTGCATACCTCCCAAATCCCATTGGTTGATACAAATCACGTGCCTGAAACTCCTGTTTTAATCATTCCTTTTATGGTGCATTGTGACCCTAACCCTAACCCTAATCCTAGCCCTAACCCTAATCCTAACCCTAACACTACTTAGAATTTAATTTAAAAAATTAACTATATTTGTATCAACCAATGGGAGTTGGGAGGTATGCAGGCCCTAGCTGCGAGTGTTCTTTAAACAATTGCAATACTTACTGTTTTGAATACATCACAGCACCATGTAGTGAGATTAATAGCATCTATATCAAGTCCGGTATACAGTACAGCTGAATTCGTATTTCAATTTATTTATATTACAGTAAAACTTGCATAAGTCGGCACTTTTCTTCCGAAAATGACGATATACGCACAAGCATGTATACTTATACATGCACAACTTATGCATGTATACAGTAAAAACCCGCGTATAAGAACATAGATTTTTCCAAGTTAGCCTCAACATGTTCTTATATAAATGGTGCTTACTGAAAAATTAGGCTCAAAAGGTTCTTAAATAGGTTCTTAATTGTTTCTACTTTTAATATGTACTAGCTGAAACCCGCGTAGCTACTGCGCGGGCCCTTATGCTGACGTGTTGATGCATGTGTTACTCAGTTACAGTTAGTGTTTATGTTGTCGTTTCATGCTAGCGTTGCCATTTGTATTATCCCGAAGCCAGAGTGATGTAGAGACGATCCTGATAACTGTTATAGAACTGTATAACTGGTATTATCATGCTCAGCCGCGCCATGTCATGCCAATTCATTCTACTCCCAGATGGCAAGCACCAGATGGTGTAACTACAGCTGCTGAAGATTGGTTACAGACCCCCCCTTTGAAGAGTGTAGAACTCCTGGTGCTCTGCTCATTTACAGACATGTTTACAGCGTATCAAGTGTCCCAAGTCCTTTTAAGGTCGTAAATCGATCAGAATCGCGGAGGGTGGCTTGTACGAGTTCTTCGGATTCGACGTGTGTACACGTCGTGTCCTTCAGTCTGAACTGTTCACATTTTGGTGTCGGAGTCTCGATAGATTGAGCATGCCCAGTACGGAGAAGCTCCACCGCAGGCAATGGTTTGGCGCCTGTGTTCCTGGGACATTTTGCGCGGGCATCTGATGTTATCGACAGAGTCGCGCAGGTGGTTTCTCGCCAGTCTTTAGCCAGATGTCGGCCGCTGGTTGCGTTTATACTTGTTGACGGCAGTGTGCGTGAGCGACCTGTGTGTCATCGAACAGGTTCTGTGACGCCCTTCCACTTGTTTACGCCGGGTAGACATTGGATATCACCTCTTGTTCCCACTTTCTAATTCTGCTCATCTTCTCCGCCTCTGCGGGTCGTGGCCGGTAACCCTTGTCGCTCTGACGCATCATAATAATTGTTTCCTTGCCCGTTTAGCTTGTTTTTTTCTCTGGCTGAAACTTCCTCACGAATCAACGATTTTCATCTCGAGAACTTTTCTCGTTTCAGTTGCTTGAACAGTGTGCCGGAATAAAGCGCAATTCAAACGAAGGCGACTCATCAGTCTGAATTCGGCGAACCTTATGTCATGCGATCGTGGCGTGTTTCGGTTATTACTCCAACAATGGCAAGATATGGATCGCTGTCCACTTTCTTCTGCACTTTCGTACGCAGTTTGTTTCAAGCATTCGGTAAGAGGAACTTTATCGGCTAAATCCATATTGACTGGAGGGTGACGTGGGACTGCGATGTTCTGTGTCTTCGGTACTCCCCAGTCTTCCTTGCAAATTGTTGAACGTAGTTAGGCAGCTTGGTACCTGGTGGTCCGTTGATCACTTACGACCACTCGCGCCAGATGCCCATGTCTAGCCGATGAGATGGTGGATTTCATATGTGTCTAGTGATCTCGCCCTAGATGTCGTGTTGCCAGATGAAGCTTCGGCTATTTCCGTGAGGTATCTGGAAAACTAGTCGGCACTGACGACGCAGGATACTGACTTCCTTCCAGTGTAGGAACAGATCGGTGTACCTACAGTTTCCCATGGCAACTGTTAGCATTCTTCAGCTTATGCCAC